TCGACTTAGGCTGCTGCCCCCGACTCCAGATAAGCAGATGAAAATGGATGGATGGATGAATAAAAAAAAAAGAGAAATCATATGTAATGTCAAACTAACCCATAACTTCATATATGGCAGGTTTATTTGTGTAACACATTTCATGCACGGAGGCAATTCAATGTGCTTTTCGGGTGAAAGCGAACACCAAAACACAAAGCAGTAAAGCTTAGTATCAAATCAAGGTATAAGGCAATTTTACAAAGTCTAATGAAAAGCTTGAGTTTTTGCATTTTGCAGTTGCTTTGATTCAAAGTGACTTCCAGAGTAACCTGACAATCCTTAATCGTTGCCTTCAAGTTACCTTTTAGCTGACAGTCCATTTCTGTTGCCTTAGATCTTTTAAGGACAAATAAAGATCGCTTCAGCAAAAAAATAATAAACCAATTAAATACGTAAAATAAATTCTAAGGAATGGAACACTTCAGCTCAATTTGTGACTCAACTATATTTGATAAACATTTCAACCCGTTAATGCTTGCACAGTATTAAGGGTTATACGGTAATAAGCACCTTATCAAGCAATAACCTTCTTCTGTTTGGGTGGAAAGATTGACAAAAGGCTGACAGCTTATCAAATCTGATTCGAAAATGTGTGTTTGTTTACTTCTGCAGCTTGGTCTCAGTAAGTTCTGTATGACACTTCTTTCTACATATACAACAGGTAATGCTGGTTTCACTCAGTTTTATTTATTTGTTCATGAATTTCTCTTTCATGATGTGCTGTATGATTGAAATTAGGTTTGTTTTTTTTACATTTACTGTTTTGGAGAAGTTTTTGTATTAAAATTGTCTGTTCAGGACAACTTCAATCACAGTACCCTCCATCGATGTAGCATATACAGCAACAGTAACTGTCCAATGGTGGCAGAGGAGTTAAAGCAACAGCAGAGTATTGCTTTGAAAGTGTTTTCAATGATTCTTGAGGTAGAAACTTCACCAACTTCAGACTGTACTGCACTCTGCAGCCCTCAGCTGACCCCAAACAGCACTTAACACATTTGTGGCACAGGTAAGTTACTAGGGGGGAGCTCTCTACCTGCTTTACGGTTGTTAGTGGTTCATTATATCGGTAGCTATAATATAAAAGCTAGCAGTTAGCATTTTCAGTTCACTAACTGCCAAGTACAAACACAAGAAGATTAAAATGAAGTTTGATTTGTTTTGTTGACATCATGATTTAGTCTGGAAGTAAAAGTCAGAGAGTAATATCTTTGGAGGCGAAGCAAAGTGCTAAAACCAGAATGAACATCAGCACTGCCTACGTTTGTTTGACGAAGCTGAAGGTTACAGAATTTTGGACTGATGATGACCTAGCTTTGTTGTTAGTAAACTTGTAAGTAAATATATTTTAGTACAACAGTGTGAATCTTTTACTTTGTGGCTTGTTTAATTTCAGTTGGATTGTGTTAGAGTTAGCTCGTTATTAGCATAGACAAGCATATGTTGTGTTTTGGTGCTGGTTTCTGCTGGTGGACCAGAACACAGTGTTGGTCCAGTATGTTGGTCCAGCATCCCATCAACAATATCTCATGCTGGACCAGCATACCAGCACCAAAACACAACATATACTGGTAACCAGTAATGCTAATTTATGCTATATTTTTCAGCAGGGGCGGCAAGGCTGTTTATGACGCGTTAAATTCTGCTTTCAACCAGTAGGATTAAGAAGCGGGAAAATGTATTTAGTGTCGCTTCAAATGAAACTTCAACAAATCTAAACCAGAATGATGTAATTTACAAGGATACAACCAATGAAATAAAAATAAAATTCATGTGAGATTTAGTGATAACAGCTTTTCTTTGTCCGGGACCATGTCTAGCAGAGGAAGTGAGAGATTTATCCATCCCTGTTGAACTTAAAGCATAATTTCCATTCTTTCATTTTTTCACTTTCAGAAACAGAAAAATAAAACATTTGCAGATTCTGTTGTATTAATTAACAGCTTCCATTGTCCCTTGTGGTTTCCATCCTCTTTGAAGATTCCTTCACAATAGACTGCCAGACTTAACCGTTTACCAACTGAAGGAGGGAGAAGATAGAAATAACAACAAAACAATCTCTATGATGGGATCACAATGCCACATGTTGGCTGATTGCAAGTGCAGGATTTACATTGTAAAAGCAAGAACCACCTCTTGGGAATCCAGTCAGGAAAAATCCAGAAGTAGAAATGCTGCCAGCTGCGACTGGAAACAAGAGAATTATTTAACATCCTTTTTCGTTTGTTTGCTTCAAGACAGTAAAATGTTCTAATCCTCCATGCATTGTTCGGGCTTCGCGGGACTGGCCGAGGAAAATGGCTTTTTGATGGCAGCGGAAGGGATAGGAAGCTTTGCCAAAGAGGACTTCAGAAGTTAATGGGCCGGTTTCAATACTGACAGGAAAATTTTGCCTGGAGCCATCCTCAGCGTCCAAAGCATTCAGCGATTTTGAAGATTATCCTTAAAGGGAAAATGACAATGTTAAGAACAAGATAGTTGTCTAAAAGCAACGGTTTTATCAGGACTTACACAAGATGGAATTATCTCTAAGCTTAAGCTGATTTATGTAGAAAACTGTTTTAAAAAATGTCTTTGCACTGGAATTGTCTCAAAAGCGAATGGCCTCAGAACTGGATTTAGTTTGATACAAAACCAGAGCAGCAATGGAGTTTCTGTTCGGTGGAAACCGTCACGAAAGTTTGGTTCAAAGATAAAAAAAATCTGAAACTAAAGGAAAATTGTTTTCTCCAAGGAGGGATGTTGCAAACACTTAATGCAGTGCAGACTCAAACCGGAAGCTTTGTGTTTCAAGGAAAGGTCCCCATGCTCTGCTAAAATTGGAAATTATGAGCAAGAGAATATACAGTCACCCCAGCAAGTGTGTGTCGGTCCTTACCCTGTGAAACACACCAGGAGGCATCCTAGTCAGATGTCCAAACCACCTCAGTTGATTTCTTTTGATTCAAATGATCAGTGTTTCAATCACCTTCCAGATTAAACAGCTGGTCGTCATACAGAGGTCGATCAATGCTGGTCATTATCACAGTCTCATGACTGTAGGCAATGGCTGGAACAGCCGAACCAGCACATTATGAGTGTTCCCTTTCTGCTCCATTTTATACTTTTATCTGAACCAAAACAAATAAATGAGTCTAGTTTTTTCTCTTTCAGTAACAATGCAAGGCTTTACTGAAACTCACCAAGTGCTGTGGTAAGATTTTATTTTTGTCTTTTGGTGAATTAATTAACAAAAATGCTGCAACTTCATAGTTGTTGACTATAATAAGAAGTTGAGTGATGCCAAGGAGACTGGCATTGCTGCATAAACAGGCAGGGAGTGACGGGCATCACCAAACTCTTGTATCCATGTGTTTGTTTGTGCTTATCCTCGCTAGCGGGCGTCTCGGTGGGTTTCCAGAATCTGCTGTAGAACAGAAACCAGCCAACAGGCCACAAGCCATCAGCAGCCAGGTCAGATTAGATTTCTGCCATTGCCATTGTGCTGATAACGCTACAATGAATGGCACTTCCCTAACCGCCGTGTTACCTTGGCCATCCCATACTTGTCAGCCCTCCGCCGCTCAGATAGGGTCTGTCAGTTAAAGAAGAGATAAAGGGAAAGTCAAGGGGGTGGTCTTCTCTGTTGGTTTACCACCGCAGTCGAGAGGGTTTTTGTTAGTGGTGAGGGTCACAAACAACAGCCTGAAGGCAAAGAAAGAACAGGGAAGGGAAGGTTGACTGGCACATTAGCTGGTGCCTCCTTATCTGTCGGCTTAATTGGAAGAGACAAGCGATCTCTTGAGTTGTAAGGATGACCATGGGAACCACAGCGAGAGAGGGCGAGAAACAAGTGTCGAGGTCTCATAATTATGGTTGTTGATCGTCATTAGACAACCTAATATAAAGCAGCGTCCACTGCTGATTTATGATGTTTTTTATGACTTAAATTATTGTTATTTTTTTTTTCTTTGTCCAAATCTTGCTCATTTGATGTTTTGCCACCTTCTCCAAACAAACCACTTACTCTTCCGTAAGAGACTCATCACCTCTTCCATGCACACCTCGCTGGTGATTAACCTTCTGGGGCAATTTTGACAGAATAGTCTCCTGGATAGATTTAGTCAGTCTGTCAACAGGCATCAGTTCAAGCAGGATGAGACCCATGTCAAACATTACCTCTCTGTTCCAGAACAGAGGCACATCTGCCAAACACTATTATTGAACTGGCACTACAAGAGCGGAACCCAGCCGCCCTGCAAGTATTAAAGGTTCATGGTTAAGAAATATTAATGTCATATCCAATCAATCATTATTACCCCAGGGGAAAATCCTGTTTAAGGTGTAGAAGCATTAGCAATTTTTAGCTTTAGGAATGTCAGGATATCCTGCTCCTGAAATGTGTCTAACAATGAGCCTCCTCTCTGCTTGTCAAAATATTTTGCCTTTTGTCCTGAGAAATCTGTTCAATTCAGTCCGCTCTTTCTCGAGGTTGTCGCTGGCAAATTGGAAAAGGCAATGTCTCCACCTATAGGTGGCAAGAGAGTACTACAACCTTCATTTTCCACACTTCAAGGATTCAATGCACAGGTCGAGGAATGCAAAAAAAAACTAATAATTTATACTAAATAAAGTTATAAAACCTGCTAGATTTCACAAACAAAATCAAATATTCATATTTACAAATTTAGCTTTGAAAACAAGTTGTCTAAAAGGTAAGTCAGATGGGCACAATCTATTTTTATTTGTTCAAATTGAAACATTTGGCTTCATATAAAATGAAATGTCTGAATTGCTTTAAAAATAAGACTAAGAGGGTAATATCTATTATCTTTAGAAATAATTCAAGGATAAGACAGAAATAGGCTGGCGAAATATTTAAATCATTTAAAAATATTGCACAACAGGATAATAATAATAATAATTTTAATAATTATTATTGATCATTATAATGAAAAAAATCAAGCTGCACGGAGACATTTAAAGGCAATTTGGTCAATAAATGCTTTATATTTGTAAGTTTTGAGTAAATACATAAAACTGATGCAACAAAACAAAAATAAAAAAATACAAAGGAAAAAGCGCAAAGCATGCTTTTTTTTATACATTCCTTTATACATTGTAGTGCTTTTTGAAGTTGCAGGTTATTAAAACAACATGTATTGGAAAAAATGCATTCAATTGTTAAAAACTAGGAAAAAGCTACAAAAATCAACACAAAAATCATAGCAGGACATCAATACATCAACAGAATACAGCCCACCCAAAAAGTTAGATTTATACAGGTCATTTAATATCATTGTCAACATTATTTTAACCTTTTTTATGTTTTTGGGTTATTAAACTATGCTGGGAGAATGTCAAGAGCAATCAAAATAATGAAGAATGTACAGAAAGATGATTATAAGACGATACCTGGTGTGTGGATACAATTAGTGAGCAGAGCTACGCTTGTTATACGTGTGGATCAAAAAGAACACTGCTCTTAAAACATGTTCATGTTACTTTAAAAAAAAGTTTGTGATCATTGGTTGTCGCAATCCCATCTTCCCCCATCAACATTTCTGCAACATCTGAAAAGAAAATAAGTTATTTTGGTCCAGGAAAAGGTCTTTGCTATTATATCCATGAAAATAAGGCTCGGTAATTTCTGCATTCTTGTGTTTTTTCTCAACAACAACAAAAAAAAAAAACATCAAAACAGAGAGTCACACTTTTCTTTTTGCTTTCTTCAAAACAAGGAGTCACGTGTTTTTTATTTAATTAATTTATTCTTTTGTTTGTTTTTTTGTTCTTTCAACTAAAGAGAAAGTATAAAGTCTCAGTGGGAGAATTAAGGTAAAAACATGCTGAAACAAGACTGGAGAAGGTGTCCCTGAGTGTGTGTGTGTGTGTGTGTGTGTGTGTGTGTGTGTGTGTGTGTGTGTGTGTGTGTGTGTGTGTGTGTGTGTGTGTGTGTGTGTGTGTGTGTGTGTGTGTGTGTGTGTGTGTGTGTGTGTGTGTGTGTGTGTGTGTGTGTTGTGTCGTATGCCTACATCTGCCTATATGGTCTCCACATAATTGGCAGGGAATAAGCCTTGTCGGCCGTCTTTGCTCCACCCCCTCCACCAGGCTTTGTCCACCGTCTCCACGTCCTTGATGATGTCACCCGGTTCAAAGGAGATCTCGGTTTCGTCCTCTGTGGGAACCACAAGATAACATGTTGAAGAGCAGATAATCACAGTGTAATTACTGCAAATGGAGGCACTTTACGTGCACATGTGTGGTAATTATCCTTCAAATGGCAGCTTACCTGCCTGGTAGTCGTACAGAGCTCGGACGCACACACGTTGATCAGCTGAATCCTGGAGTGGACAGAGAAACTTTGTCAAAAAAGGACTATAATCATAAAATGCTTGCTTAAATATGGCAAAACTTTGGTGTTTACATTTATATTCTTACACAGATTCCTTCCTTAGTAGCCAACAACCTGCATGTTTCTACTGCAATGTGGAGTTTAGCATCTCCATCTTGTAGAGCCCTAGCAACGGGACAAATGTGCCTTAATCTGCTTTTTTTTTTTTACAGTGAAAATAAAGATGAATATGCTTCCTACTGGTGAGGAGCCATTCTGATCAAGACATCATAGCCATGTTTCCACTACAGGAGTTCTGGGAAATGGCTGGGAGGGAAAAAAGTGACCAGGAGATACGATGACTTGGTCCTCTCAGCCCTTGTGTCTCCATACAAAATCAGCCCTTTCAGGACTTAAAGACTTGGCAATTGCTGAGTGGGCCAGAAATGTCCCAGTGCTCTGCTGGCGTGTGTGTTGCTGCCTTCCTCTTCTTCCTTTTCTTCATGGTCTGTGATGCTTTACTGACGATCTAGGGTTATGTGATGAGATAGGTGGAATTTACAGGGATGGGGGCTGGATTTCATGGAATCGAAATGTTTTATTTCCGGGTTGAAAAAATGTCTCAGTAAAATAACTTATATTCCAGAAGAAATGATGCTTCATAATCATGCACGGGCCTATTCTAGCTTATTTCCTCTTCCTTCCTTTCTGCTTCACCTGCAACTCTTAAAAATGTTACAAATGTTGGTTGTTCTGGCAACGTCTGCCGATATCGTTTCCCACTGAGTTACAACCAACCAGCATGAGTTAACCACAATTACTGCAAAGTGACTCAGCTGAGCCATTTACGAGTAAGGACCCAGGTTGGTTCCTGAAATGGCCGAGAATGTGGTCCTTTTGAGCCGGCCCGGTGAAAAGGAGACATGCATCTGGTAAAATTACCCAGAAATCCCAATAATGGAAACAGGCCTCATCGGTGTGAAATATTAGTTCTTCATTGTGTATTACAGCTAAAAGTTGATCACCGAGCTCTAGTCTACTTATTGATTTTGAAGGAGATTTTGTTCTTCATGTAAAAACAGGGTTTTCTTTCTCTTTTTCACATTTTATTCCTGCTATTTCGTCTTAACTTTGTGCACTGCCATCAGAAAAACATGTTCCAACCTGCTGTATCTCAAAGATTATTGTACCACGAAATAATTAGTTTTGCTAGCGTTTTAAGAAGAAAAGGGAGAGGGAGGAAGGTGCAACTTTCACTTATGCAGCCAAACAATCATCTGTCAGAGAGCCTAACACTCGGTGAGAGCTCAACATCTTAACATGAAGTGTTGTTCTTAACTCTGGTTTGATTTCTAGCTAATTGCGTGATAAAGTCTTTATTCAACATTAATCTACAAGTGAAACTGAAAAAAAATGAATATAGTGCAAAAGTTCATGTATAAACTATTTCAATTTACAAGGTGAAACTAATAAATGGAATAGACTCACTACATGCAAAGCCAGATATTTCAAGCCTTTATTTGTTATAATTGTGATGATTGTGGCTTACAGCTTATGAAAACCCTAAATTCAGAATCTCAGACAAGTAGAATATTGTGAAAGTTTTTTTTCTAGACTCAAGTGTCACACTCTAATCAGCTAATGAATCCAAACACCTGCAAAGGGTTCCTGGGCCTTTAGATGGTCTCTCAGTCTAAGTAAAATTACAGAAATAAATTGACTTTTGCATGATATTCAAATTTTTCCAGTTTCACCTGTACAACAAATTTACTGCAGAGTTAAACTGATCCAAGATGGCTGCCATTCCAAGGCATATCAGATCTTACATATATTTTGTTGCATATTACATTTCTTTTGAAAATTTGACCAAAATCAAACATTAAAAGTGGTTGGCGATGTTTAATTTTAAGAGATTTTATCAATAACAATTTTTTTCCCCTCAGGACAAAATATATTGACCAGTAAAAGAAAAACCTCTTGTCCGTTTTCTGAGATCTCCTGAATTTCATCCTCGATGATGTCATCGTCATCCTTGGTGGTGTGAATACTGTAGCACACAGCCAGCTCGGGAGTGCTGCCCTCGGTGTCGGACGGACTCAAAGATCTCGCTGAGGAAAAGCAGAGTAAAATGTTCTGACCATAACAGAACCGGCGTGCTAGGATGTTGCTGGATGGTTTGGTGTTTTTCATCACACCTGTTCCATTCTGCTCCTCTGAGCCGTCTCCGTTGGTGATCCCACTGCTTGACAGAATTACAGCCTCGTGTTTGACATTTTGACAAATTGGTTCACCATCTGAAAGGAAAATGACATAAATAATAACTTCATGGGATTTGCAGTTAGGAAGCTGTAGCGCACCTCTCAAATGGTTGTGGCAATGTAACACAGTTAATACAAGTACCCAGTCACACAAACATGTTTACCTGTAAGCGCTGGTTCCTCCTCATCCTCAGTGGGGGGCTGACTCTCTCCTGAATGTTTCATCTCCTCTGCATCTTCCCCAGCCTCCTCCTCCTCATCTGGCAGCTCAGTTGTTTCCTCTAGTAACACAAGGTCAGTTTCCTTTTTTAACTCCATCACTTCCTCTTCCTCCTTCTTGTCATTTTTGTCCTGGTCCTCCTCCTCCTCCTCTTCCTTATCTTGATACTCCTCCACCTCGACCTCCTCTTCTACCTCCTCTGTCTCCTTTCGCAGTACTTCTGCAGTAATGGAACACAGTTCTGGCAGGGCTTCTGGCTCGTCGTCCTCATTTTCTGGCACGTCTTCCTCCTCGTCCGCCTCCACAAGGACAGCTTGAACTTTAAAGCCAGTGTCTGAGACCAGATCAATGTGTGCTTTACCTGCTGTGTTCAGATACGTTAATTTGAACAAATATCTAAAATTATGTTGCATGTGGGAAAATTTTAGAGATGGACAAAAATAAAATACATTTTCTTGTTGAAAACCTTACCTGAATCCAGAAGGGGGCTCCCAGAAGGAGTGTCTGTTAGAACCTGTGAAGGTGAACCAGACTCTGGGTTTGAACTTGAGCGCTCTGTCAGAGTTGTGATTCGCTGGGCTGCTTCTGGCTCATCTTCTGAGTGCAACTGAAAGGGGTTCTCGTTTATTGAGATGGGGGGAAAAGTAGCCAAGAGGGTGGGGGAGGCCGGTGGTGCAGAGGGTTCTGTGGGCTCGGCAGCAGCCTGGACTTGGTTTTGAGTCTGAGGGATGCTGGGCAGGGCGGATGTTGGAGGCGCAGGGCGGAGGGGCGATGTGGGTGGTGACATGGGGGCTGTACGTCTTTGTGGGGAGGTAACTGGGAAAAAGTCAGGGCTCTTGGGGGGAGACATGGCATGGTAAATGGGGGAGGGGGGAGCCCTTGAGAAGGGGGAGACCAGAGGAGAACTGCGTGGGGAGGTGGGTGAGTTCTCCTCTGCTTTAGAGAAGATGAAGGCTGTGTCTGTCAGGCTGCGCTGGTACCGTCTGAATGGTTTTCCTGGAAAAACAAAACAAAAACAAAACAAAAACACACAACATTAAAAACATCTGAACACATTGGCTTCGAATTCAGAAACATGCTTTGTACAGAGCTGAAGTTAAAAGAGTGGAACACTGAAAAAAATTTTTTTTTAATAATTTCATTTGGTTACTGAGTTGTTCATGCAAGCTGAACAGGAAATTAGTCTCCTACATATCTCCTGCACTAGCTTCTGATAGAAAACCGACGGTGAAATTCTAGGATTTGACGGATCTACATCACACTGTCACTTAACATTCATGGACTCGCCCATCTTGACTCAAGAACGGGAAAGCTGTTGTTTCAATTTTCAGGAATCAGCAGAAAATGTTTTTAGTAGAAGCTAACCGTGAGCATTAGCAACTTCACCACAGGGCAAAACTCCTCCAGGCTTGAGTTATTTTTGGAGATAAAACATCAATGTTGCAAAGTGAATGGACTCAGTGTTAGAGTTGCATTGCTGTTAGCCAATCAGAGGTGAGATGTCCAAATATCAGGAAGTAAGTCTCTTAACTCCTGCCATCTGAAGCTCTCCTCTGATCTGGCAATCCTCTCATTCATTTCTACTAGAAACCACTGCAGATGTATTGAACGAATAAACCACATCTGTAGATAAGTAATCAGATTATCTGTGGAAGGTCATACCTGTGCGGGATTCAGGACTTGTGGGACTTCTTGATGAAGATGAGGACAGCTGCCTGAAGAATTCCCTCGGGTTCATGGAGCGCTGGGACACTAAAGCCGCTGCCTCCTACGTATCAGTAACCATACAATAGCATCAACTTCAGCAGATAAAATATTAACTTTTTTAGCTTTAATCTGTTACAAGCTGCTATTTTAAGCACATTTTAAAGGATATATTCGGGAATGTTAAAGTTTTCCTGTGCAAATTTACTAATGGCTTTATTTCTCTGGAACAAGACTGTTCAGGGAGGTTTCTACAGTGGGTAAAATTGTAATATTCCATATTTTTTGCTAAAAGACTTTTTAAAATTTTCCCCGAAATCCCCTTAATTACTAATAACTCACCGCTGCTTTCTCTATCGACTCACTCCTTTGAAGTCGAGTCCTCATTTCATGTTCATGTTCCTTTTCCTGCTGCTCCTGTGAGTAAAAATAAATAAATAAATAAACATTTCAGTCACTTTGAAATATCTGAGTCCAAATATTCCTAAAGAGAAATAACAAATTACCTCCTTTAGCCAAAACTCGGACATCCTCCAACAACTTTAGATGGATTTACATTTAAAACGTTTACTTAGCGCTAGATATTCCCACTCACCCATTTCAACTTTTCCTTTCTGCGAAGCACTTCCTCTTGTTCTCTCTCTTGTCTTCTGCAAGAAAGAAGAGTAACTTAAACTGAACACTTGAAAATACTTTCTCCTTCCAAACAATACATCCTATAAAGGTGCAACATTCACACCTTTGCTCCTCAATCATTTGAAGTTTCTCGTTCATTTTTCTGTCTCTTTCCTCTTCGTCCCGTCGCTCTTTTAGAATTCTTTCTCGTTCCATGCGTCGTCTCTCCTCTGTTGCTCTTTTTCTTTCCTCTTCTTTTCTTTCTTCCTCTTCACGCTGACACACGCACACACACACACACACACACACACACCAAAAACATCATAATTAGTTTACCTTCATTTTAGTTTCAAATAAAAACAATTGCATATTTTTCTGCTTTGATCTTGCAAGTCTGAACTAGTTTGATATTATTTTTAATACAGATGTTTTTAGCAGATCATTAATTTAACCATTTAACAATAAAAACTAAAGTTTTAATCTCACTAAATGAACTTATTTCAGGTTTAGAGGGTACTTTTGCTTTTTATTTTAATTTAAAATGGTTTTAGTTAAAACTGGTTCAATAAATTCTAGCTGAGGCTGAAGAAAAAAGTATTTCCACATACCTCTGCACGTGCCCAGAAGGAGTCTCTGTTTATTAGTCGCATTTCCATTGCAGCGTTAGTTTTTCTGTAGTTTGTACCCTATAAGGAATATATGGTTTTGATGACATCATTTTTATTAAAATGTAATTATGTGTTGAGCCATCCTATGGCCGTTCTTTACTTAACTGGTAACCTGATGATCTGTGTATAAATAAAAGTCTCTGTCTCCATCTATTGGACAGATGCGATAGTGTGAGAGACTCACCACAATCTCCTCCTTTTCTGCAGACTTGGAGCTCCTTCTCACCCATTGTGTTGGAGTAGGAGCCTGGGCCTTGCTGAGCTCAGCTTTTATCTTCTCCTCTGTCACGTCTTCTGGCTTTTCGGCACCAACAAAGGCATGTGCTTCCTAAAACATGGAGGACAGGGAATAAAAAGGGGATGGTGAGCAGAGTAAGACAGATGTGGATTTAATCCACCCTTTGTTTGCTGCGCTGGAGCCTCTGCTGGCATTCACAGAGACAAAAAGAGAACAACGTACGCGGTCGTTCTGGTGGCCTCTTGGCATGATTTTAGTTAGAAGTCCGAGTTATGAAAACTTGGAGCCAAACAGTTGTGCAACAACTTCAGCTGTGAGGAGAACAAAAGCTGACAGCACCTTAGAGGGAGGATGAAAACACATCTGTTTGAGCAGTTATGGATCCCAGAGAAAAAAAAGATGAGAAGTAAAATATGAGAGGATGCATTGTGTTTCCAGAAAAAAGAGGACATATGTAATTTAAAAAAACAACAAAACACTGCAGCTTTATTTGCAAAGGTGGTTTAATTAATTTTTGTAAATTTTAAATATTATAAAAGGATAAAACCCTGAGATTTTAAAGTGTAAGGACCTTGTGAATGGAAAACGTGCCTGCTTTACTACATGATGCATAAACAGTACAGCTTTGAACTTGAATTTCTACAGATTCTAGTTCTTTTGTTAAGGATTAACACTTACATGAGCCTAACACATTAAAGGCGATATATGCCAGCTCACTTTTTGCATCCTTCTGTGCCACCATGTGGGTCTCTTGCGAGAAAGGTCAAGAATGAAACTGATGAAATTATTTTACGTGAGGGCAAATTAGTGCAAAGAACTTCATAAATGAACTATTAGAATTTCAAGACCAAGTTCACTTGTTTTTCATTGCATTTCCAGTGGTCTCTAGTACAAATGAATGGCATGTGAGTTGATCTCTGTGGGGTGGGGGGGGGGGGGGGGGGGGAATTCTGGCTTTTCTGTTTCAGGAAGTAAAATTAGGCAGATGACAGGTGACCAGAACAAAGCAGGGATTTGAGTCTTATTTCATGATATTTAAACATCTCACTTCTGATTGGCTAACACACTACGTTTGCTCTGCAACGTTTATGTTTTACCTCCACAAAAACACAAGTCTGAAGGAGTTCTGTCATTTTGTGGTGTGGCTAATGCTAACCGTTAGCTTCTACTAGCTGAGACATGCTCTACTCTCTCATGGATGCTAAAACAACAACAGGTTTCCTTTGCAAGTCCATATCCATGAATGTTCAATGTGACATGGATCTGAGTGCCTAATCTGAGCATTTCCCATATTTCTGCTATCAGCGGCTAATGCAGGAAATAAGGGTAGAAGAATATTTTCATGTTAACCTTACAATAGCCTGCATGTTAACCTCTGAGTGCCTGATCAAAAAATGAATAGATAAATAAAATAAAATAAAATAAAAACATGGTTTCTCAGTGAACTTTATCTTATCATATACATCTATACATTTTTTTGGGTTGATGATGTACCAATTATATAATTTACATAATATGTAAAATTGGTACTCTCCAATAGCTGTACTTCACCATTAGACCAAAAATAAATGTATAAAATAGGCAGCTTGTTTATAGGGATAATATAAATCTTGAAGAATACATAGAACTCTTAAAATTTGGAATAAATATTTTAATTTGACTATTTGAGATCATGTTCAGAGTAGAAAGTTTATTTCTGAATATTGTTGCTGTTCTTTGTATCTTCAAAAATGTAAACTATCAGAAAATGAAAAACATCTGTTGTATAATGTCTGTGTGGTCCTCAGTCACAAGCTGTTTTTGACATGTTACACTTGATGGGCATCCACACAACCACAAACAGATGCGATGGATGACTCAGAGGTTCGACTTGTTCAACAACATAAAAATGGTGAAAAATGGAAATAGACGTTTTCAGATGGTTGATGGCCAAAACCCATTAACAAATAAAACAAATAAATAAATAATCCACAACAGATTCTCTGTTTGCATATAGCGTCAAACATTTCCTGAGAGAATAATCCCAGGCTTGGGCTGCATGGTGGCGCGGTTGTTAGCACTGTTGCTTCGCAGCAAGAAGGTTGCAGGTTCGACACCTGGCTGCGGTCTTTCTGTGTGGAGATGCATGTTCTCCCCATGCAAGCGTGGGTTTCCTCCGGGTACTCTGGTTTCCCCGACAGATCACAACTTGCCCTATAGGTTAACAATTGTATGTTGCTTTGGACAAAAGCGTCTGCCAAATAAATAAACACAAACATTGATCCTGAAGGCCGAGTTTGTCCCTTCCAACTGGAAAGCACTGGACATGGAACACAGTATTATGCGGGTTTTAGGATAAACATATGCAGTCCACACCCACCTGACTGTAGATGTCAACCACATTTTACAACTTAAAGAAAGGAAGTCTACGGTTTTGCATGCGACAGTGGGAAAACCACAGTGGGTGGGGGATGTTGTTATGCAAAATGGTGCTAAACACTGTTCTGACAAGTTCTTTTTCACTTTAGGTATTGAACAAGGGCTTTATGGTCAAATAAACAGATACTAAAGGGAAAAACGAGGAAAACTCCAGTAACTAGCTATGTTGAAGCTACAACTCATCCAAGACCTTATACCTTCATACCAACTTGCTTACCAAAGTTTGCAAATAAACAGCTATACAACTGCAAATATGTTAAAATGTAAACAATGGCAAATAAACACCTATTTTCACTAGACATGTATAAAAATGAGAAAATGATGAATATTCAGTTATTTTGAATGCTAACGTGCGTCCAAATAAAAGTTAATAAATGCATCACGATGAAGTCTCTACTGTGGTAACGGCATGTTGATGTGGGAAGAGGGGAATAAAAAAGGACAAAAGTGCCAAAACGTTCCCACACTTCAGCTCTATTTTAATTTATTTTGCATAAATGTGAGACTATAAAACTCCCCTCTGATTTCCAGATTAAAAATATAATCTAACTGGCAGAACATATTTTCCTACCAGAGCAGTTCTTGAATCTATGAGGCCCATATGGCTGCTCATACAGAAGTGACTGTGCCATGCTGTGGATATTGCTACAGCAGAAGCTCGCGAGCAGGATGAAGTGAGATGATGCACATGAATTAATCGTGTAAGAGTTTGTGGCATCTGTGACCTGTGGGGAATAAAAAACTCACTGTTGGTACGAGACTAGGAGCTGTCTGGGAGGAAATGGAGTCCAAGGTGATGTGACAGGATTTTAGCTATAATTGGACTCAATTCCACACAAACTGTCTCTGTGCTCTGGAGTCTCCCTGTGGTTCAGTTCAGTGAGAGAAGGAGTTTGAGTTTCTCCTGTAAAGGTTGGTCCCGGATGGCAGATGTGCTATTATACATGCCACGGTTGGGATTCCAATACTTCCTGATGTTCTGATTTGATGTTATTGTGCTGCACTGTAATTAAACATCAGAATTTAAATGAGAAACAGATTATTAGAAACTTTTTTAACGTTTAATGTAACAACAATTTCTTTTACAGGTTAAGTCAGCAACAATTACAAAAAAAACTGAAGGACATATGACAGAAATATTCACAAAAATTAAAATAAAGATGTTTTGTATCTGACAAAAGATTCACAAAGTGTTAAGCCTGCGGTACAGAAGACACATGTGCTGTGCCACAGACGCACCACGATTTTGGGGAGTCAAATGGTCACACAGGATTTACTGCGCCGCAAACACTTCTTGGAAAATCGCACGATAGTCACAACATCACATGGGACTTGAGAACAGGAAGCAGAAAGTGGCTCTTTTGTTTATGCGTGATCAGATTTGTCGTCGTGTTTTGTGAGATTCATTAAAAATGGGTAAGTACACTATTTATTTGAATATTTTAAGATCAATAGGACTTTAAAGTTATCAATGCCGTAATCGAGTAGCATTTATAAGCTCCTTGTCCATGGTTTGGCGGTTGGGTTTGAGCTGTTCCGCGTCGTATTGTCTGTTGTGAAGTACTCCTCAATGTTGTGAACAGCTGCACCACGGTGCTTAAAATTGAACTGGCGCCTATCTTCAGAGTGACGGAAAGCTGGAGCGCGAGATCGACAGGCGGATTGGTGCTGCATCTGCAGTGATGTGAGAGTTGTACCGGTCTGTTGTGGTGAAGAGAGAGCTTCGCCTTCTGGCTCAGCTCTCAATTTACAGGTCAATCTACATTCCTACCCTCACCAATGGTCACGAGCTTTGGGTAGTTACCGAAAGAACGAGCTTGCGGATACAAGCGGCCGAAATGAGTTTTCTCCGCAGAGTGGTTGGGCTCTCCCTTACAGATAAGGTGAGAAGCTCGGTCATCCGGGAGAGGCTCGGAGTAAATCCGCTGCTCCTCCACATCGAGAGGAGCCAGTTGAGGTGGCTCAGGCATCTGGTCAGGATGTCAACTGGACACCTCTCTGGTGAGGTTTTCCGGGCACATCCAACCAGGAGGAGGCCTAAAGGGAGACCCAGGACACGGTGGAGGGACTATGTCTCTCATCTGGCCAGGGAACGCCTTGGGATTCCCCAGGAGGAGCTGGCCCAAGTAGCTGTGGAGAGGGAAGTCTGGGCCCCTCGACTTAGGCTGCTGCCCCCGCGACCCGACTCCAGATATGGATGGATGGACAGCCTATCTTCAGCACCTCCGTGCAAATTAGCATTTCTGGGATGTGGTGTTGCGCCCCCCGTGTCGCCACTCTCAGTAACTACAAAGGCTTCTTTTTAAAATGGTGGCGCAGGCATGACGTGGTGCAACGCATCTGTCTTCTGTGTGCCCCAAGCTTAAGATTCAAGTTTTTATCCAGAGTCTTTCATCCAACTTAAGAAAAAAAAATCCTGCTTAGTAAGTCTTTCATTTTTATTTGTTCTTTAAATGCAACTCTGCAATGTGAGTTTGCAAATAAAAAAATAAATAAATAAAAACAAGGAGAAAGATGGAAAATATAAAACAACAGAAATTCATTCAAATAAAAGACAATTTTTTTAAAGAGCATGTTTTAACTGGATTTCACAACTTCAAGAAAATTATTGGTTAGATTGTGTGTGTGTGTGTGTGTGTGTGTGTGTGTGTGTGTGTGTGTGTGTGTGTGTGTGTGTGTGTGTGTGTGTGACTTTTTTTTCTTCTTTTATCACATCAAAGTCAAGCAGGAATTTAGCCAAGAATTTAATCTTTTAAAGACAACTTTGATTATGATTTGGTAAAAATGAGGGCATTTAGAGGGCAGGGTGGAGCTGTGTTAGATGTTACATCAGCAAGTCATGCATGGATTAGTTTTCATGTAATGAATTAGTTTTCATGTAATTTATTGTTTATTATGAGCAACACGGGTGAAAAGTATTTCATTTGGTCTCTTTTCTCTTTTTTTTTTACGTAAAGCTACAACAATAATCCAATATTTTAGTTCCAAAAACTGATCAGAAAAAGTCTAAAAAGTGGAAAAACTAAAAGAAAATGTAACACAATATTATGTTTCCCTGCAAAATGCAAAGAATATTTGTGTTTTTAATTTGATTATAAAATATGCTGACAGATGTTCTTACACCTGCTCAGTAAACATACGGAGTATTGCTTTAAATATCACTGACAGATAAATATGAATTACTAATAAAACATAGATCAGCTTGTCTCATAAAACATTCTACACCATATGTGGTGTCTGTCATACTGACTATCTAAAGATCAACAGACATTAAATACAGTCATGGAAAGAATTTGTTTTTTCAAACTTTAAATCAAAAACCAACCTCTGAAATTGTTGTCAAAAGTAATGAAATGTGCTCTGTTTGCTTTCTTAACATCTTAATGCCCGGTGACCAATAAATGATGCAGAACAACGCTATTTTGTTCAGGAGCAAATGTGCACTTCAAAGAAAGAGAAATAAGGAAAATGTGGTTCTGAGATTAAAAAAAAAGAAACAGAATTGTTTAGGTTTGCATGTTAGCCACACGGTAATAAAAAAAATCCATTATCAAGACTTTCTTTAAATATGTTCTTTTTAAAATATTCAACAAATCCAAGTTTTAATCTCCAAGTAGTGAAAAACACAAACATTCTTGCTTATACTTCCTGTTTATCCTTAAATAATAGTCAACAAGAATTTGGTTTTAATTTAACGTTGTTAGATACACAAGTTAAATCAGAGAATAAGTCACTGGCACGGCTGTGGCACCGGTCCAGCTGTTACATGTGCATGTTTGCTGAGGTTAAAGGTCACATTTCTCTCAGAGTTCACAGAAGCAGGGGTGTAATTCTTCAATCTTTTCCAGGTTTTCCACTTTATGATTTCTCTACAGCTTTTAAATCTCCCATGATAATGTGGAAAAGCACAAAAACACTTGTGTGCAATGGTGAGTTTTCAGACAGGCTTGCAAAACCCCAGACAAATATCACAAAAACAACAAACATTCCACAGATGCCTGTGCTGTTGATGGGGTGATGCCTTTATATGGAAACTAGAAAATCTAGGCAGCAGCTAAAGTGCTCAGACTGAAACAATAAACCCCATTTCAGGGGCAAAGTCAGAAGAGATGGATTGCACCAAACACAAAGGGCATGGTTTCTCGTGTGCTGCTTTTAAACAAGTTGATGTTGAAGTTTCATGTGTGGATCTAGGTTGGACAGTGAAAAAGGGAGCTTCTAGCCTTAGAGTTAACGGATCTCTTCCGGCATGAAGCTCAGACAAGACCAGCACACCAAATGAACAGGAAGGAGACGAGAGCAGGAAACTCTCACAACAATACTGAGTAAACTACTAAGTATAAATAGACTTGTGAGTGCCTATTGTGGAGTCCAAGGATGAAGCCAAATTGACTTTTCTTTTGCTCTGTATAGGAAATTTGGTTTAGAAAAAGCTGCATCAGATAGATATGTGATCATTAGAAGAAGGGAAAATGTGGATTTTTTTATTTACAAGTATAAAGTTCTCGATCTAGTCATATAAACTATATAAAGAGTACCTTAAAGAAGTTTTTGATGGCTGGAATGTGGCTGACACATTCTGTTCTCCGGTAGTCATCCACATTTTGGCCAACCTGCAAACAAATACAGGATGTAAACGATAGCATTCATGTCATAACTTGCTAAAGACCAAAAAGGATGAAGGGAAAAGAAACTAAAGGACAATGCGAGATCCTTGATTCTATCCTAACACCCCAAATGTTCGTTTAGCTAACATCTCAGCTCTCAACCAACAAGGAAAATAGGCTAAGAAAATGCATTTGCTTTGCTAAAACAAGAAAGCAGAGGTGTGACAAGTCACTGCTTTGCAAGTCACAAGTCTTTCCAGTGAAGTCTCGAGTCAAGTCCAAGTCAAAGACAATCAAGTCCAAGTCGAGTCCAAAGTCAATGATGTAGAAGTCCAAGTCCAAGTCCTTAACTTTGAATTTTCAAGTCATAATCAAGTCATCTATCCAACTTCAGTTTAATGATGATAATAAATAAATTCCAGAAATAAAGCTTCTTAAAGCTTCATTCATTTTCTCAAACAAGCAGAAAGTGCAACTGAAAGTGGTTATAAACTAAGTGCTGCTGCATTTAGCAGTACATCAAACCCAGAACAAAGAATCATATCTGGTTTTTGTCCATGTCGTGTCACTTTTGTGCTAAAATATCAAAAATGCTCAAGTCATCATCAAGTCAACAGATGCAAGTCAATTCAAGTCGCAAGTCATCGGTGTTCAAGTCCAAGTCAAGTCATAAGTCTTTACAGATTTTATCAAGTCAAGTCAGAAGTCATTAAAATATTGACTAGAGTCCAAGTCATGTGACTCGGGTCCACACCTCTGGAAGAAAACAGTAAAACTACAGTTTTTCAAAGTCTTTAAGTCCAAGGATCAATGCATTTTGAAAATCTACACTCTAAAAAAGACATGTTGAATTTACCTTACTAAGTTATTTGCACTGGTTTCACTAATTGCTTAAATGTATAGATTAATACTCATTGTTATTTGTTATGTTAAAAGTAAATAGTTCTCATTACTTTTAAAGGATTATTCTACCCCTAAGTGAAATTCAGTCCGTTGCCATACACCCCAGAGTTGGATAGCCAGCCCAGTCATTCTTCTAATCTAGCATGAAAAGTGAATGGTAACCGATAGCATTAAGTGTGAAAAAGTGATCAATATTACTCGAAAATTATCCTAATTTTTCTTGGTGGCCTCAATAATCAGACTGACAGCAAATGAAAATATTAAGTAACACTTAGAAATTACAGGAGCCGATTTAGACTTGGGAATACATTAGGCGTGTTTCCACTACCAGAATTTCAGGGTAAATTTACAGAAACTTCCTGCAACACCAATGTCTCCACCTCACCGGGCTGGCTGAACAGGCTGTTTTCCAGACCATTTTCAGGAAGTTTCAGAGTACCTGAACAGGAGTAGGAACTCGGAATGGCCTGGTGGAATAGCGGAGCGGAACATTTGTTTAAATCACACTGATTGGCTGAAACACAGTAGGAAATTACATCAGTGAACGCCATCCAAAATCACCAAGAGTTGCATGTGAAGCAGAATGGAAGCAAAAGACAGCAAGCGCAGATCGAGTTGCTTTTAAATCGCCATTATTAAACTTCCAACACCAAAAAACACAGTGGAATTCTCCCACAACAGCGAATCGATTACATTAGGATGTACTTTGACAGAATACAGTTTTGACTGTTATTATTGTTACTGTGGATGCTTTTTGGTGCTGGTCAGTGACATCACTCACTGCCGAAGCAGTCGCAGTATGCTGTCATCTTAATAAAGTCCTGAAAGGGCTGAATTTGTAAGACACAGCAGCTAAGACGACCGGGTCATCTTATCTCCCTGTCGATTTCCCGCCCCAGAATTTACTCTGAAGATCCGACAATGGAAACATGCCCATAATAACAAAACACCGCCAGAAGCCTCAGCTGCAAACAATGTGGCACAGTGGCCCCAAAACTCACCGTAACTGTCATTAGATTTCACTAACATTTATAACATTTCACCCTATTGACAGTGAACTGCTAGTTTTGGGGCTGTAACTTTAGCTGTTACCATTCACTTACATAGTTTATGCTAAGCTAAAGCTAATGGAATACTGCCAGATACCAGATGACACCAGCCCAATAATAATGTGTCTCTGCTCAATGAATGCAATCATGGTATAGAGCAGGGGTGTCAAACTCAGTTTTGCTCAAGGGCCACATTGAGGAAAATCTAGTCCCAAGTGGGCCAGACCAGTAAAATTAAAGTACCAGGTATGTATATATTAAAAACTGCTTCAGATTGTTTTCTTTGTTTTAATACGATCAACATAAAACAAGGCTGGAGCCTGAGGACGGTGTATCCAAAATAGTTTAACCACAACATCACTATTAATAATAAAACAGCTGGAGTGTATTTGAAAATGTGAAACACAAAAAAAATACCCAAACTATTCCTCAGCAATTCAAATAACTGATTCACAGATCACATGGCTACATCAGTTTCATGCATGTCTTTGACTCCTGATACCTGACATCTTTTAGCTTTCACCAGCAGTTTAATTGAAAAATGAAAGCTTATTTTCAGACTTTACATTGTAAAGTCTGAAAATAAGGTTTACACAATCATCTCGCGGGCCGGATTTAAACTGTGTGCGGGCCTGATTCGGCCCGCGGGCCGAATAATTGACACCCCTGGTATAGAGGGTTGTTTTAAATATCACAGACAGAGGAATATTTAGACCATATTATTTCAGTAAAATAAATTTTTACTGAAATGCACAATCTTGTCTCATGAAACACTGACAGACCAGTGGTGCCTGTCACAGCCCGATGTTGTTTCCTTGCCTCAAAATGCTGTCTATACTGGACTGTAGTTAAAAAAATAATCAATGTTTGCAGTTTTTGAATTTGTACACAACTTATTTTTCACTTTTTGACTTTGAAAGCATGACATTTACTTCTACAGCTCCGTCTGCTGCTGCTCACCCAGATTATCATAGCAATCTCAGGCGCTGCTCCTTCTACACTGCTCATTTTGCAGAGTCCATATTGAGGTTTTGAGATGTGAAACTTTTCCGCCAACTCTGCCACTCCTCCGGCTGTTGGAAAAGAGAAATGTAAAGAAAAGTTAGACAGACCATTGGAGGCGCAGGACGTTGTAACGCAAAATGAAAAATTATCGATTTTTTTTTTCAGACATTAAAAAGCTAAAAGTTTAATTTTGCCTAAAAAAAGTTTACTTTACCTCCAGAGTCAGCCAGTTTGAGCTTGTTGGTAACCCCATCATATGCAAATAACGCCCTGCAAGCATAAAAACAGAAACATATTAGATGAAAAGACACATGACGGATACATTTGCATTTGAAAGATTTTATTTTGAACTGTGACACTGGAACCTTTCTTCATTTTTCCCGTTTGTCTCCTTCCCAGCCCTTTCCCTCTCTCTCTAAGTATCTTTGTAAATGTGTAAAACAGGAAGGTGCGCTGCAGCACAATAACCAGCATTCATTATGTTTGCCTCAACACTTGGATGGCTCTTCAGTGTGAAACTAATGCAGCCAGTGGTGCTCACAGATCTGAGGTTTTAGGCATTTTGCAGGTGAAAACCTGCCCTACCACACCCTTTAGTCTGTCTACTGCTGCTGTGGCAACTCGTGATGTGTTTTCACGAGACCTCTGAGATACAGCCTCATCACTTGGTTACGACAGCAATGATTAATGTCGTCAAATTTCCAAAACACAACTGAGAGATGAAGAAGGGGAAGCTAAATAAAGGATTAATGAGCAATATCGTAGAATCTGAGTCGATTTGATGTTCCTTATCCTGGTCTGAACATAAGCCACTTTGAAAAGTCGCTTAAAATAAAAAAATAAACTGAATAACTGTGCACGTAGGCCTGTGTGAGAGCCCAAGAATGTGCACGTGTGCTTGAATGTGTGTGTAGGTGTAAATCTCTGTAGGTTTGTGTCAATAACATCTGGAGCTGAGCAGTAAGAGGCCACGAGCAGCTATTACAGCAGGTCAAAGGTGTTGGGTGTGTGTTTGTGCACGTGTGAGCGTGTGTGTGTGCATGTGTGTATGTGAGAAAAGAGAGAGACAAACATGAGTAAAATGATCTGGTCCACCATACATAATAACCGCAGTTTGGCTGAAGGCAGAACGGTTAACTCGGCAAGCGTCTCTGAATCTCTTTATTTTTTCCTGATGCAACAAGTCAGCTTTTGTCCTCGCTCTCCGCTGTACAAAGTGCACTAAAAGTCAGTGTGTGAGCGTACTGAAGGCACAATAACATGTTTGTGTCCTTTGTTCTGTAAGTTGTCCAATATGCGAGAAGGCAGACTATCTCTTGATTTTTGCTGCTCTGACGGTGCTAATAAGTGTATCGATCATAACGTCAAACAAAACAATAATTTGGAGTAAAACATTACATTTGGTAACTTTCTTCATACGTAAAATCAGCACTGAGTGTTTTTTGCAGAAACGATGTGCTGAAAATGAAGAAATATTCACATTTAAAAGTTAAAGTCCCATTAGTTGTCACACACACAGGTGTGTGTGCGAAATTTGTTCTCCGCATTTGACCCATCCCCTGGGGGAGCGGTGAGCTGCAGACACAGCCGCGCTCGGGAACTATTTGGTGGTTTAACCTCCCAATCCAACCCCGTAATGCTGAGTGCCAAGCAGGGAGGCATTGGGTCCCATTTTTTCAAAGTCTCTGGTATGACCCGACCAGGAATCGGACCCCTGATCTCCCAGTCTCAGGGCGGACACTCTACCACTAGGACACTTCTCTAGTTTGAATTGAGGAAACAAAATTGCGTCATGAAAACACACCATGACAAGTAAAGGTTATGTGCTTTCTTTCTTTTTTTTGGGGGGGGGGGGGGGGATAAAAACCTGATGCAGGCAAAAATTATTACGGAATCAGAGTCAGAGAGCTTTTACTGACGGAAATTCAACTAGCATAGAGATAAGGAAACACAAAAGTTAAGGTAGAAATAAAAATAAGGAGGGGTTGAAATAAAGACATATTCAGTGAATAAAAATCAGGACTTCTTACTTAAAAAAAACAGTTTTATAAACTATCACTTTAAAAATCAGCAGCTTCATTTTTAGTCGCTATAGCATAGTAATAATAGTAGCTCTGCCAAATGTTGAGGTGATAAAGTTAAATACTATTCTGAGTTTTTTCTCTGTTTGGACCGATGTTTGCAGAGTTCTATCCTTTAGCCAATGGGCCTTATTCACCTCACAAGCTTATTCTCATTTAGCCTCTAAAAGCAATTCAACACAATTTGCTCATCAGGCTCGATTCAGGCACTGACTGAGTGCTTCAGGGTTCTCTGGCTGTTTAACTCCATAGGATGCACTAAACAAGTGAGATCCAGATCGAGTTCACTGGGAAAATAACATTTCATGTTATTCTTAATTTATAGCCATTGTTGAGTTTTCTGTGAAGTTTAGTGTTAACTGGTGAAATAAGTCTCCCTATATTAGAGTTTAATGTAGTCATACTCAGCTTTTATTGCAAACAGGAACACCTGATATGTCACGGGTCCTCAAGATTCACTATCTTACATGTTTTAGATGGCTGATTAACATGCTTCTGCAGAAATGAGAGAAAACATCCTGAATCAGGTGTTTCAGAGTAGGACAGTTCTCAATTTACACCTTTGAGGGGGGGCTGCAGGTAAAATTCCAATTATTTATAACATAACAAGTTATAATTGGATAGCTTAGAAAACCTCTGGCTCTGAGTAAATCTTGACAAAGATCCTTATAGTAAAAACTTGCGGTTGGTATTTGATGAAGAGCAATAAACCAAAATGAAGCTTTGCAGCTCACACTGCTAATTTAATTACTTCTATGCTTTGGTAGCACAAGCAGGTTCAGAAGCAGTAAGTTTCCCAAGCCAACAGGCCAGATAGACCCCCTCACACACACACACACACACACACACACACACACACACACACACACACACACACACACAAACACACACACACACACACACACCAGATGGGAAAAACAGACTTTCTTGTGTCTACTCCAGCCCACCTCCAAACGTAGCCAGCTATGACTTCAGAGGGAAGAGAAGGGAGCTGAATTAAAAAGTAGGGAAAGAGGCCACCATTGAGGGAATCGAGGAAATGAAAAGCAAAGACATAATCTGACTTTTTTTTAAGAATGCATATTTGAGGTGATTTCTCCAAAGTATTGCTAAATATTAAACAATAATTACTATTCAAGTGCATTTGTGTAGGTTCTGAGTACAGATGTTTGCAAACAGGAAGTTACGGAATTGTTACTGAATTATTTATTCTGAGCGTCCAAAACCCTTTTTATACCTCAAACATGGTATTCGCCATTAGTTCAGGGTTCTTAAGATTAGTTCAACAGAAGCCGACTGTTGGAGCTGGAGGAACCTTGTCATGAACTTTGTCGTCAAATGTGCAGTTTTTTATGCTTTTTTGTGTAAAAACATAAAGAATTATTTGTAATATGTCACAATTACTACTCTGTTTTTAGTTATTCTGACACTTGGCATCAACAGAAGCATGTGTTTCACCTCTACTCTAACCCCTGCTGCATTTGCACATACCTTTCACAAAATCACATTTCTTATCACCATTTTTTTTACTCCCTTAACTTCACCACATGTAACTGTTGTCTCTGCAGCCAAAAGCTCGTGCGAGCTGATATTTATTCACTCCATTTTAGCTAACAGGAGAGATAAGAGACGTTTTTGTTGTTTGTTTTTGCACCCTAGCGCAGGTTGATAAGGTGTGCATGAAGAAAAATATACCAGAAAATAAATGAGTAACTCGGAGCTATCACTAAGATTCTGTGCCCAGGGTAAGCTCCGCTTCAACTTTCTACTTTTCATTTCTCATTCCAGACCATGTTTCCTATTGGTCTCCAACTCTCATGCTGTCAATTTGTCAAATGTGTGATTCTATCATTCAACATTAGCTGTATTTTATTCCCCTCCTCTTCCCTCCCCAAATCCTTATTCCCAGTTTAAATCCAGCCTGGACTCCCACTTCTATTTTTAGCATTTTTCTTAGTCTACCTCTCCGTCTGTGTTGGAGTGGGGAGCTCGGAGACGTCCCCAAAGCACAACTCACTCATTTCCTCTTTCCAAACATGGTCAAAAAAGTCCTAGTATGACTTGACTGCTGAAAAAGTCATTTAATAGTAATACGGTTCATGGAGTAACTACAATGGTGAACAGATTCCTACCAGAGTCAGGACTTCAGACACTCATGGAGGTTCACTGGTAAGGCGGGAGGTTTAAGTTTACAATGTATAACATGTCAAAATAATGACATTTTATGTGATAATTAAATAAGTTTGTATTTGTTTATTATGATGAAGGTACATATTTAATGATTTTCATAACACTTGTAATATAATTAAGAACATTTGAATACACGCAAAAGAGACAGCCAAACTATACGAGTTAATCCTTATTTGCCACCATAACACCTGACCAGTCAGGGCATGAACAGAAAACATCCAGGGCCATTTCAAGGCTTTTCGGGAACATGGACCCCCCCCCCCCCCCCACACACACACACACACACACACATCCTGCGTGATTACATAAGCAGCATAGACACCTTTTTTTATCGTTAGTATTTTACTAGGAAGCTGCAACACCACCATAATATGCCAAACAACAAACTTCCTGTTTACAACTTGTTACAAATTAAAAACCTACCCTTCCACCAGTCAGCCCGTTCCACTCTATTCAGTGAGTAGTCTCGATAAGGCCATCAAAAATTCCACGGTATCGGAGGTTGCATTATCATTTCATGCTGATGATACTGCTTGTTATGTTTTTTCTGTATTTAAGTTCTAGTTCCATTGTTTTTCTGTTCTTATCTAACACATAGAGTAGCAAAGTTTTTACCTTATTTTTCTAACAGTTTTGGCACCTTCCGGTTGCCTTCATCAGAGTTTTGGCAGTGTTACTTCCGTTACCGTTAACCAATGTTAATCGATCACCACGTCCCATGAATGATCCAGTGTGTAAACCCCTTCATCCCTATTCAGCAAACATTAGTTTTGCTAGTTAGCAAAACAAGGTAAAAACTTTGCTACGGTGTGCATTAGATAAGAACCGAAAACCAATATGCTGATGACAGTTCTATATAAACAATATCCGTATTTAATCAAAGGTAATGCACAAAAGACATGTTAGGTTATAGTCATTTCAGTCAAACCTGCAAGCCAGATTCTACGGGTTTTCTCTGTAGGTGATAGCTGTGAGTCATCATTTAGTAGATGAACAACA